AATAATGGTTTGGGGTGATTTGGAAAGATAATCTTGAAAGGAATTAATAGAGCTTGTTCTTCGTAATTTAATAATAAGAGGCATATTCTTATAAATTTACCACTAAAAAAATGGTCATTTGGTTTATTCCATAATATTGGTATAATAATTCTATACCAATGACGGTTTACAAGAAGGCACGAAAATAAGCATTTATGATTAGTCCGAAGGTTATTAAATATTTCGAAAAAGCATTCATTTGGTAATGCTATCATTTTAAAATTTCACTATTAGTGTTAAGAAAAGAATTCGATACATACTGAAGTGCCTTTTGCATGCTGATTTATGCATCATGTGGTATAGCATTGTGAAATAAGAAGTTACTGTTAATACAGTGATAGGGTAAAATTTATAATTTGACTGTGCCAATTATCTGATTTTTAATTTTACAGTATATAGTATTTTATATATGAATATTTTTGATAATTGAATATTTATCTCAAACTTGCTCATTTTTTTGGTTGAACCAATATGAATTCAGCTTAAATTTGTAAAATAAATTTCACCTTTTTGACCAGTGTTGCTTAATAATTTTTTTCAATATAGATTTAAGTAATACATGCTAATAATCTAAGACTATTAAATTTTTAAGTTGTTTATTCAGTATTCCTATGTGCATAACTTGCATATTTTTTTAAAAAAACCATTAATATAAATTTAATTTGTAAATAAAAAAGAAAATTTTAGTCAATGGCTTAAAAATTTAGTCATGATTTTAGTACGTATAGACCAATTTCATGAATTATTTTGTCAACAGTCATTAATAAAACTTGAGCGATAGGGTTGGTCTGATGTTGACTAGAGGCAGATTGTCGATGAATCTTACGAAAACCTTAATTATGTACGAATATAACTTAGTCAATGAATATTAAATGTTTGAGATTAACATGTTTTTATGAATAACGGACAATCTATCCTAATATTTTGACACTATGAAGATTTATTTGTCTGATTTCGATATTTTGTGTGATTTCAATGATATTATTTCAAAAGACGATGGGTAAGTTAGTGATTTGCAACAATGGGTGATTAATAATTTCAACGGTGTAGCATTGATCTTAACAATGGGCATTGGTGTAAATTAGTAAATGCAAACAAATGCTAGTGATCAGTGATATCTCGTCAAATAATATTATAGTTGGTTAATAACCAATAATGTAACACTGTATGATAAATCTAGCTGTTAGTTAAGACCGTCAACATATAAATATTTTATTTTTATTTTCATTATAAAAATTATCGAATAATAAGGAACATACTCTATATTACATCCATATTTTATTATAAATATATTCATTCATAAAAAGAGTGCTTCAACTACAAAATATAATTTCTATTTTAAAAATAGAGCTTAATTCTCATAAGACTTATTTTTTCGTAGAAATATCATGCAAATTCTGAAAGATATAAATCTTGAAACTGATATATTCTGACTACTTTAATTTAAAGCTTTGTTTATCTCTTCTGTGTCAATTAGTTTGCTCGTGTAAATATGGCTTGGATAAGTCGGTGTTTCGATTTTTGGTATTAATTTATCAGCTTCTAAGAATTGTTTTTTGACATCATTGTCATTCTTCTGTTCCATTTCATCCTTATGATCCATTTCATCCTCCTGTTCCATATCATCAAGCCAACCGACGATTCTTGAGCTGATAATTGTGGCTGTTGGTCGTCTATTTGGATCAAAATCCATACATCTTTTGGCCAATTTCACATAGCATTTTGGAGTTCCTTTACCAAATTCTGGTCGATTTCCTTTACGAATTTGTATAGCAAGTTTAGTATCAAACGGAACGCTATCAAATGCTTTTTTTCCAGAAGATATTTCAGTCATAATAACACCGAAAGAGTATATATCAGCCGCTTGGGTGAATTGTTGACCAATCAAGACCTCAGGAGCTACGTACGGCATGACACCATGAATTTTACCATCTTGTTTAATATCAGACGATGTTGAAAGACCCAGATCAGTGATGTACGCATTATGCAGAAGATCTTGCAAGATATTTCCGGAGTGTAAATCTCTATGGATCAATTCTTGGGAATGAATGGATTCAAGATCCGAAGCTATACAATACAACAAATTTAACTTTTTTTTCCAATCCATTTTTACAACCTCAGAAAGGTTTCCACGCAATGATCCTTTCGAAGCATATTCCAAAACTATAATATAATCTTTTGAAACTGGATTCTTTGATACTCCGTAGCATTTTAAAAATGATGGGTTTTCGTATCCAATATCGCAATAGTTTTTCAACTATTTAATATTGAATAATTGAATAACTTAAAATTAAATGACTTAAAAATAAATGCAATTAAT